ATCAGCCAAAATCCATGCAGGGGTTAAAAAGTTAGCTGGAGGTCCCTTTATGACCGACCACAAGCACATTTTCCTGCCCAAAACAGTTCCATAGATTTGGGCTGTGCGGTTGGTCTATTTCAGGCTGCAAAAACAACTAAGTCCCATCGCCGAATTGGACTTAGTTTCTGCGGCTGAAAGTTCAGTATGGGAGAAGGTACAGGTTAGCTGTGTTCGCGGAAATGTGCAGCCGATTTTAGTTCCATTAATTTGGCTACACATACCGCTGACCTCGTGCGAATGAACATGAAGATGGCCACCGCCACGTATTCGGCAAACGAACAAAGGCCACCCAGCATTGTCAATTAAGCTGCGGTTAACCGCAGCTTCTGGGAGGTAAATTGCCGACACACTCCCAATACAGGTGGTCCGCCTGTGTGGTACTTGGCTCAGTAAGCCCCATTTACTGAACCAAGTGGGAAATAGCTAGGCACAAAGGGTTTTAACCCGGTCTGGGGACACTGGGGACACCGTCTTAAAGGGGCAGTGTCCCAAACAAGTCTGGGGACACGGTTTTAAAGGGGCAGTGTCCCAATCTTCCCGATGCCCCAAAAAGGTGCTTAAAGGGCCAGCACCAGTCCCATAAAAAGTCCATAAGCCCCAATATGCCCACCGACTGTCTTAAAGGGCCATACACACCCAATAAAAGTCCATAAGTTTTCACAATCTCCCAGGGGCCTTAGTCATGCGGAAGGAGGCTGGCAAATAGGCTTCTCCACAACCCAGGGAAGCTGGGCAATTTACCATTTAAAGGGCCAGTTACAAATAGCAGTTTGTAACAACCGGTTTCCTCCTCTCCCTGTAGGATGCACTGCCGCTGGGGAGAGAGACCGGTTGTCTCCTCTCCCTGTGAGATGCACTGCAGCTGGGGAGAGAGACCGATTGTCTCCTCTCCATGTAACTCCAGCTGCCACTGGGGATATCGGCCAGCTGCCCAGCATCCCTGTAGGGCCAGTAGAGAGACCTCGGCCCCATCTCCACCTGCCATTTGAGTTTCCTCCCAGTGCCAGTCTATGAGATCCCCCAGGACTTGGGAATAAGGACTACCTGACTCCTTTCTCAGTAGCTCCAGCTGCAGCTGGGGATCTGGGCCGGCTGCCCAGCATCCCTGTGGGGCTGGTGGAGAGACTTTGGTCCCATCTCCACCTGCCTGTTGGGGTTCCTCACAGGACCAGTCTGACGTCCCCTACTTCAGGTACCTCCGGCTGCCTCTGGGGAGAGAGGCTAAGCTCCTTTCGTTGGAGACTTATTTTCCTTGCGTTAGCCAGCAGGAACTCTTGGTCCCTCTTTGCTTGTCTTTCAATGGTTACCTGGTTCCAGATGGCCTGGAAGGTATCCATGGACAAATCAGGGCCATACCAGGCCACTCGCTGCCTATCCTCAGCCAGCAAATCTTTGCAAGAGTCAGAGTATGCCATACTTGCCTGCTCCAAGTCAATGGACACCTCTGCTTCCAGGGGCGCTGCACGAATGTGAGCATGATCAACAAGTTACCGGTGTCTCCAGGATGCTTCTCCTCGCACTAGGACGCCATCCCGCCGCTGCCACCAAATGTGACGGACCGCCTGGCACTCTGACTGAGTGCCTCAGCCAATCAATGCTCCTAGTACTCACTGAGGAATTCCAGCACGACACCAGACACCATAAGCACTGCAGACCCCACTTCCAGCGATGCAGTTGCGCCGTGGTCTTGCCGTCCTTCACCCACCCATCACCCAAGACTGGGATCCAGCTTCCAGTGTGCAGACCTCTTCTACTCCCAGAGAGCGTAGCAGGAACAGCTCTTATAAGAGCTAGTGATTATAATTCCTAGGAGTATAGTGATATAGCAATCCCCAGGATAGATACAGCCATTTCACTGACACATGAGATGAGACTCTATGTTGAGGGTAAGCAGGAACAGAATTTTAATGGAGGCACACTGGCCTTTTATGCAAGTTTCCCAACAAGGGTGACACCCAGGTGGACCTTGTTGGACACAGGGACACAAAGTGAATAAACCATTAAAACAGAGTCATATGGGAGTGAGACACACTCCCATACACAAACAATAGAATCCCTCCTCTGTGCTTGGGAAATAATTGAATCAGGAACTGTACTAATCTAACCCAATTATCTCCAAGCATAGAATAACATACAGTTTTATGAAACCCCAAAAAGTACCTTAAAAACACATAAAGCCCCATAGTTACATCCCCTGATAGACCCGATCTGGGTGAACAACATATCCAAAAATCACAGAGATCGATTCAGGGGTTCAGGAATTTACTGTAAGTTACAGTTTTGACCGACCGTGCACATGGTCCTATGCCCAAAACAGTTTCAGGGAAATCAGTACTAACAGTCGGTCAAGTTCGGTAGTCTTTTACAGGTTTCCCTGCAGGATCCATAGTCTGTGGGCAGGAGGCTGGCAAGCCTTGCATGTGGATTGTTACAGCCACCTCCTATACCCAGTATCCCATGGTCTCATTTATCGATGGATTTCATTGTTGAACTGCCTAGTTCCAATAGGTATACTACCATCCTCATGGTAGTTGACCAATTTTCCAAAATGGCACACTTTACTCCACTTAAAAAATTGCCATCATCTCAGGACCTGGTGCACATATTTATACGCGATATTGTCAGGCTATGTGGTATTCCTTAACATATTGTGTCTGACAGGGGTTCCCAATTTGTGTCACGGTTCTGGAGGGCATTCAATAAACAGTTGGGCATTGAATTGTCATTTTCCTCTGCTCACCATCCCTAAACTAATGGTACAGCTTAAAGAGCTAACTTGAGCTGTATTTACATTGCTTTGTGAATAGTACACAGTCTAACTGGGCTGAATTATTGCCCTGGGCCGAATTTGCAAGGAATAACGCTACCCATGACTCATCTGGGCATAGTCTGTTTTTTGTCAATAAGGGTCGTCATCCTGCTGTTTTCCCTGCTGTGTTTTCTACTCTGGATGATCACCTTACCTCTATTCGTGATACCTGGACTAAGGTTCACTCCGCTCTTGAAATTGCGGCTGCTCGCTTTAAGTTTCATGCGCATAAACGGCGGAGTGCCAATCCAGTTTACCAGGTGGGTGATCGAGTTAGGTTATCCTCACTTCAGTAGTGGGGAAAGTACTTCAGTAGTGGGGAAAGTGATGGAAACCATGTTAAAGGATAGGATTGTTGACATGGATTTCAAGATCAGAGACGTGTTTACTTCAGGGAGATCATGCCAAGCTAGTCTTATTGATTTTTTTGATTGTGTAACTAAAATAATAGATCAGGAAGGTGCAGTAGACATTGTTTTTCCTAGATTTCAGTAAGGCTTTTGACACTGTTGCACTTAGAAGGCTTATCAATAAACTGCAATCTTTAAGTTTGGATTCCAATATTGTTGAATGGGTAAGGCAGTGGCTGAGTGACAGGCAACAGAGGGTTGTAGTCAATGGAGTATATTCGAAGTTTGGGCTTGTCACAAGAGGGGTACCTCAGGGATCTGTACTTGGACCCATTCTCTTTAATATTTTTATTAGTGATATTGCAGAAGGACTTGATGGTAAGGTATGTCTTTTTGCTGATGATACTAAGATATGTAACAGGGTTGATGTTCCAGGAGGGATAAGCCAAATGGCAAATGATTTAGGTAAACTAGAAAAATGGTCAGAGTTGTGGCAACTGACATTTAATGTGGATAAGTGCAAGATTATCCACATTATCTTGCACTTATCCACATTAAATGTCAGTTGCCACAACTCTGACCATTTTTCTAGTTTACCTAAATCATTTGCCATTTGGCTTATCCCTCCTGGAACATCAACCCTGTTACATATCTTAGTATCATCATCTTGGACATAAAAACCCAAGGGCAGAGTACAGAATATTTGATAGAGTCCTAACCTCAACATCTGAGGAAAGAGATTTAGGGGTGATTATTTCTGATGACTTAAAGGTAGGCAGACAAAGTAATAGAGCACCAGGAAATTCTAGCAGAATGCTTGGTTGTATAGGGAGAGGTATTAGCAGTAGAAAGAGAGAAGTACTCATACCATTGTACAGAACACTGGTTAGACCTCACTTGGAGTACTGTACTCAGTACTGGAGACCGTCTTTAATTAGAGGGGCAAAGGTTTAAAAATAATATCAGGAAGAGGGTAGAGGATGCATGGAATAGCCTTCCAGCTGAAGTGGTAGAGGTTAACACAGTAAAGGAGTTTAAGCATGCATGGGATAGGCATAAGGCATACTCGTTTTCCTGGCACTATAGTGCCCTCAGGGTCCCCCTCCTGCCCGGCTCTGGAAGGGGGAAAGGGGTTTAAACTTACCTGTGACGGAACGCTGGCACTCCGACTGAGTACCTCCGCCAATCGATGCTCCTAGTGCTCGCTGAGGACTCCAAGCACTCCAACCGACACCATCAGCACTGCAGACCCCACTTCCAGCGATGCAACTGCGCCGGGGTCTCTGCTGTTTCCACCCACCCTGGACCCAAGGCCAGGATCCAGCTTCCAGTGGGTGAACCTCTCTTTCCCCAGAGAGCAGGAACAGGAACAAATCAAGCTATTGCAAGAGCTTCCTCTGGGGAGTAAGTGATTATAGCAATCCCCAGAGTGTAGGTATCCCTTCCCCCAAACATGAGCCAAGGCTTAATGCTGGAACAAGACTGATTTACTGGCACACAGAACTCACAATTTATGCAACACAAAACTCCTCCTCTGGGCCAGGCTAGATAATTGAGTTTCTACAATACACAAAGCTAAATTATCTGCTGGCCAGAAATAATACAGTTTCATAAAACACACAGGGACCCCAAAACATGCAATAACCCCATAAAAAGTATATCCTTGGAACCGGGGGATCTGGTGAACCACATATCCAAAATTCACCCAGATCCGTTCAGTACTTTGGAAAATACAGTTTAATGCAGATTCTGCAGAACATATACAGGCTAAATGAAAAACAATCACTGCATAATGTGTCCCCTGCTGTATAGTCCAAAACCACTGCACGATGTCTCTGTGCACCAAATACTGGCGAGATGGCACCGTGTTGAAAAGTCCAAACAGTGTCTGTGAGTTAAAATGGCCGCCATCCATTGTTCCCACCATGTGCTTCTGATACAGGAAATGGTGGCCACCCAGTAACTCCACAGTATGTCCCCAGATGCTTCTTAAAGGGCCAGCAGCAGCACAACACAAATCCATTATGCCCAAATCATGTCTTTAAAGGGCAATACATCCCAGGGGCCGTAGTCACAGGGCAAGAGGCGGGCAAGCAGTCCTCTCCAGGCACAAGTGGCGAAGGGCACTTCGTCACACATCTTCCCTTTGGGGGGAAGACTAAACAGGTGCCTGACCTTCTGCCGGTCAGTACCTAGATTAGTCGGGCAGCCCACCCACAAAGAAAAATATGCAGAGTAACCCCCCCACAATAAATGGTACTGGCCTGTAGGTTCAAGTTTGTAGTGGGACAGCGCAGCACTCTCGGTCTCCCTGGTGCAGCTAGGCAAACTGCTGGTGTTGCTTAGGGGGCAGAGGCCAGCGGCGCTCTGCCCTGCTGCCAGCTCTTCCACTGGGGTAACCCGTGGTAAGTCAGGCTCTGATGCAGGGGAAATGGGGGGGCAGAGGCTAACAGAGCTCTGCCCAGATGCCAGCTCTTCTGCTGGGAGGGGGTCAGTGGGTATCGCAGGATCATCCACTGCCCCCAGGACCCGGTTGGGATGTAGCTGGGGAGGGGAAGTTTCACTTACCTCCTCCTCCTGGCATCCCTGCGGAGTTGGTTGGGGTATACCATCAGACCGCCCGTCCAGCCTCCCTGTAGGACTGGCACAGAGACCGCGGTCCCATCTGCGCCAGTGTGGGTAGGTTTGTCTTCCCCCTCTCCCGGTATCTCTGGCTGCTGTTGGAGGGGGAGGCTGGTTGCCCCCACTCCCCAGGACGCTGGTTGCTGTAAGGTGGAGGGATTGACCATCACCTCCTCCTGGAACTCAGGCTGCCACTGGGGAGAGAGACCAGTTGTCTCCTCTCCCTGTATATTATACTGCCGCTGGGGACCTAGGCTGACTGCCCAGCATCCCTGTAGGGCCGGCAGAGAGACTTCGGTCCCATCTCCGCTTGCCATCTCTGTGTGTCCCCAGGACAAGTCTATGAGGTCGCCCACCTCCGGCTGCTGTTGGAGAGGGAGGCCGGTTGCCTCCCCTCCCCAGGACGCTGGTTGCTGTACGGGGGAGGGATCTACCATCACCTCCTCCTGGAACTCAGGCCGCCGCTGGGGAGAGGGCGGTTGTCTCTTCCCTCTGTAGTGCACTGCCGCTGGGATGGGAGGTGCTGCTCTCCTCTCCCTGTAACTCACTCTGTGCTGGAGGCGGGTGTCAATACCCCCAAACTCCACAGTTGGTACTTTCGAGTTCCGTGCGTCTTGGTTCTCCGCACTCAACATGCATCACTTGATGGACCACCTCATCTGAAGGGTTTGGGCCAAACCAGACCAGCCGCGCCTTTACTTCCTTCATGAAAGCAGCACCCTCATAGCACTGTGACGAAGGATTTGCAATTCACTGGCTGCTGTCCAGGGTCTTGCTAGCTCCATGTTGCTGTAGGTAGGGACGCGCGCAGAGGCTAGGTTGCCCTCAATTCTAAAAACGGTAACTCCACACGTTATGGGTGTCTCGAGCTGCTGGTCCTCGCACTAGGACGCCATCCGCCGCTGCCACCAAATGTGGGAACGCAGCACTCCGACTGAGTACCTCCATGTCGATGCTCCTAGTGCTGCTGAGGACTCCAAGCACTCCAACCGACACCATCAGCACTGCAGACCCCACTTCCAGTGATGCAACTGCGCGGGGTCTCTGCTGTCTCCACCCACCCCTGGACCCAAGGCCAGGATCCAGCTTCCAGTGGGTGAACCTCTCTTTCCCCAGAGAACAGGAACAGGAACAGGAACAAATCAAGCTATTGCAAGAGCTTCCTCTGGGTAGTAAGTGATTATAGCAATCCCCAGAGTGTAGGTATCCCTTCCCCCAAACATGAGCCAAGGCTTAATGCTGGAACAAGACTGATTTACTGGCACACAGAACTCACAATTTATGCAACACAAAACTCCTCCTCTGGGCCAGGCTAGATAATTGAGTTTCTACAATACACAAAGCTCAATTATCTGCTGGCCAGAAATAATACAGTTTCATAAAACACACAGGGACCCCAAAACATGCAATAACCCCATACAAAGTATATCCTTGGAACCAGGGGATCTGGTTGAACCACATATCCAAAATTCACCCAGATCCGTTCAGTACTTTGGAAAATACAGTTTAATACAGATTCTGCAGAACATATACAGGCTAAATGAAAAACAATCACTTTATAATGTGTCCCCTGCTGTATAGTCCAAAACCACTGCACGATGTCTCTGTGCACCAAATACTGGCGAGATGGCACCGTGTTGAAAAGTCCAAACAGTGTCTGTGAGTTAAAATGGCAGCCATCCATTGTTCTCACCATGTGCTTCTGATACAGGAAATGGTGGCCACCCAGTAACTCCACAGTATGTCCCCAGATGGTTCTTAAAGGGCCAGCAGCAGCACAACACAAATCCATTATGCCCAAATCATGTCTTTAAAGGGCAATACATCCCAGGGGCCATAGTCACAGGGCAAGAGGCGGGCAAGCAGTCCTATCCAGGCACAAGTGGCGAAGGGCACTTCGTCATATTACCTTTTTCCAGCGCTGGGCGGGGAGCTCTCCTCCTTCTCTCCTCCTCCATTCCGCCCCGTCGGCTGAATGCGCACGTGCGGCAAGAGCTGCGCGCGCATTCAGCCGGTCGCATAGGAAAGCATTATCAATGCTTTCCTATGGACGCTGGCGTGCTCTCACTGTGAAAATCAATGAGACAGCCACTAGAGGATTAGGGGGAAGGCTTAACCCATTAATAAACATAGCAGTTTCTCTGAAACTGCTATGTTTATAAAAAAATGGGTTAACCCTAGAAGGACCTGCCACCCAGACCACTTCATTAAGCTGAAGTGGTCTGGGTGCCTAGAGTGGTCCTTTAATGTGGGTCTCTCTCTCTTCTCCTCCAAGATGACACTACCTCTCATCTTAGACACTGGGATTAAATAACCCATTGCCTGCCCACTAAATTGCACATTCTCCTACTAAAGCATGCCTCTCAGGAACAGTTAAACCAGGACTTCAATACTGATTAGTTTCCAAGACTTCAAGAGTAAACTTTTCTGTTAGAACAGTATACCATCAGTTACCAGGGCCTCAAGAGTAACTGTTTTTCAGGGTTTCAAAAGTGAACTTCACCAGGTAACCAGGACTACAGGAGCAATTCCTTTGTTTGAGACTACCCCTTTGAGAGCTGAAAACTGTCACTTATCCAGGGAATATTTGCTAAATTATGAAACAGAGTCAATAACTTAGTGAGTTATGGGTACAAATACCACTAAAAATGTTACTTATATTTGATGTCTATAACACAGGCACAGGCTCTGTGTGAGTTGCGAGCATACCACATCTCGTTTGCATTTTTACAGGAAATCCATTTTCACACTCATAGGGCTTCACGTTTCTCGGATAGATACTGTTCTCTTGACTGGATAGAGATGCAAGTAGGGAGAGTGTGTCACGATGCTAATAGTTAATGGGGGTTAACCCCTAGAGGAAATGTATCGGAAAGCGGGAACGAAAGGCAAGATCAGAGATAGATGAATTGTTATATCCCTGACCTAACCCTTACATGTGCTAAAGCAACCCATATAGACTAGACTAAATTACATCATAACTGTAGCAAACTCTCCCCTTTAAGAGAGTTTGCCTTGAGCTTTTGGAGGGGCTTGCTTCCCTGCCTACTGCCATGTGACTATGGCCCTGGGGGTATTGCCCTTTAAAGACAGTATTTGGGCATGATGGATGTTTATTATGCGGCTACTGGCCCTTTAAGCACAGTATATGGACTTCTATTAGACTGTGTATAGATTGTATATAGGAAGGTGTACCCCTCCCCCATTTCCTGTCCCATTGTTCTCCAGTAGGGCGTTGTCCCAGGCACACTGCCAAACTAGTTGGAACTGGTTTGGGCTAGAAAGTTTGGGCTAGAAAGCCATGCTTCAGTGGGCCTAAAGGGACCTCCACAAAACTTTAAACCCCCATAACTCCCGAACCCCTGGTCCGATCTGGGTGGTTTTTGAAAATGTTATTCACCCAGATCATGGGCTGTCAGGGGATACCACATTTAGGGGTGTACCCTATGTATCTGGGGTACATCTAGAACTTGGGGAAAATATGTACATTTTAATTCTGTTAACAGATAAGCTGATGGAAGGAGATGTGTGGGTTGTACCTTGTACTTTATTGGTTAATGTACTAATTATTGTGAATCCCTCCCTTGCATGGGAGAAAGCTTTAAAAGAAGGTTGTTGGGAATAAAAGTTCAGTTCTGCTTGACCTCAAAACGAAGTGTCATCTCGTTATTGGGGGAATTGGATTATATGCTGATTGCCAGGAGTGTAAGCTGATTGTATGCTTTTCCTGTTCAGCTGCTTACAGCATTCATATGCTTGAGAGCATTCGTATGCTTCTCCGGTTCGGTGGTTGTGGTGTCTGCTGCAGTGCTTGGAGTGCTCAGGAAGCGCTAGGAGCATCCTTCAACGGAGGTACCCAGTTGGGGTGCCAGGTGATCCGTTACAATAACTGTGACGAAGTGCCCTTCGCCACTTGTCCCTGGAGAGGACTGCTTGCCCGCCTCTTGCCCTGTGACTATGGCCCCTGGGATGTATTTCCCTTTAAAGACATGATTTGGGCATAATGGATTTGTGTTGTGCTGCTGCTGGCCCTTTAAGAACCATCTGGGGACATACTGTGGAGTTACTGGGTGGCCACCATTTCCTGTATCAGAAGCACATGGTGAGAACAATGGATGGCGGCCATTTTAACTCACAGACACTGTTTGGACTTTTCAACACGGTGCCATCTTGCCAGTATTTGGTGCACAGAGACATCGTGCAGTGGTTTTGGACTATACAGCAGGGGACACATTATACAGTGATTGTTTTCATTTAGCCTGTATATGTTCTGCAGAATCTGCATTAAACTGTATTTTCCAAAGTACTGAACGGATCTGGGTGAATTTTGGATATGTGGTTCACCCAGATCCCCCGGTTCCAAGGATATACTTTTTATGGGGTTATTGCATGTTTTGGGGTCCCTGTGATGTGTTTTATGAAACTATTATTTATGGCCAGCAGATAATTGATCTTTGTGTATTGTAGAAACTCAATTATCTAGCCTGGCCCAGAGGAGGAGTTTTGTGTTGCATAAATTGTGAGTTCTGTGTGCCAGTAAATCAGTCTTGTTCCAGCATTAAGCCTTGGCTCATGTTTGGGGGAAGGGATAC